TGCTGAGAGCACCTCAGGGCTGTCACGTGGCAGGGCCAGCCAGCTAAGTGGCCTCGTAAAGGGTCTGGTGTTTTCAGTGGCTGACGGCTTCCACAGACCTTCTGGAACAGCCGAGACTCAGAACAGAGGTGGGAGCCACGTGCGGCATCAGAGGACACAGGAGAGCAGCTCGGCCACCAGGGATGTTTTGGGAGGGTGACGGGCTGACACGGTGGTCTGCGTGGGGAGGGCTGGCCAGCGTCCACTCTAATCGTCTGCCACCCCCCCCCCACCGCAGTTTCGGGGGGCTCATCTTGAACAAGACCGTCTCCAAGCAGCAGTTCCGAGGCATGGCCATATTCGCCCCCATCATTTGTGGTAGGTACTGGGTCCCGTCACCTGGCTTCTGGGTGGTGGGGCCAGAAGAGTAGCGATCTCGGAGGTCCGGGCCCGGCCCCGGGAGGCTGCTGTAGCCCCGGGGAGAAAGTGCTGCCCCGGCTCCTCCAGGTCACACCTGCCCTCACAGGCCCCCAGGACCAGAGCTGATCCCAGAGCCCTGAAGGCTTTAATCCGGGATCTGCTGGCACCTGGGACCAAGTGTGGCTTCAGAACCGGGGTGTTGGCGTCTCGTGGCTTTCCTTTTATTTTAACTTAGACTCACTGATGACACTTAAAACTCAGGCATTTACACAGAGAAAACAGGATTCATGTCTTCTCCTTAAAACGCAAGGCTGTGACAACACTGGTTCACGGTGGGGTGGGCAGGAGTCAGCTTGCCTCAATCTCCATGCCCTGGGTCTCCTCCGGACCCTCCACTGGTTCAGCTTCCAGGCTTAACTCTGTGGGCATTTTAGCCCAAGCTCAGCTTGTGTCTAGTTTCTGGTAAGGCTCTCTAAGTGGGGCCGGCTGGTCGGAGAGGAACGAGTGTGACAACCCACTGCCCAGGCCATCTGTGCAGTGTCCTGTACGTGCCAGGCCTGCACCCAGCCGAGTCCATGGGGCCTCTCCCAGCGCCAGGCCGGCCACTGACAAGGACAAGCAGCAGCTGGCCCAGAGGCCACAGGCCTAGAGAGTCCCCTGGGGGTCCTCTGCTCGGTGTCTGTAGGGGCTGAGTGAGCACCGCGAATGACTTGCGCAGGGAGGCGAGGTGGGCGGTGGGGAGCAGTGCAGGGCGGGCTCCTGGGCGACCTGCGTGGTGGCTGTCCGGTTGTGGGCTGGTGGAAACGGAGCCCCAGGGAGACAGGAACCTGGATTAAGGGCCTAATGTGGAAAGGCCGCCAATTTATTTATTTTTTTATTTTTTTAATAAATCATCATGGGCGAAGCAAACAGATCTGCAGTCATCCTGTGCCCACGGCCATTCTCTGCATCCTCTGGAGCAGCCAGGGCACATCTGGCCCAGTTAGGGGTCGTCTTCCATAGGGACGAGGCAGCGGGCAACCAACCGCCCTCTAAAGGGGACAGTCACCAGGGGCAGGCCCCACCCTCTGCCTGCAGGGGCTCCGAGGGGCCTTTGTCACTGGGGCCCGTGGCCCCAGCAGAGCTGGCCACGGTCAGCTCCCCAGGACGCCAAGAGCCCCCCCCCCCCCCCCCCCCCCCCCCCCCCCCCCCCCCCGCCCACCCCCCCCCCCCCCCCCCCCCCCCCCCC